GTGTCCACAACACCACACAACTTGGTGTCATCTGCAAACTTGCTGAGGGTGCACTCGATCCCACTGTCCATGTCGCCAACAAAGATGTTAAATAGCACTGGCCCCAGTACTGACCTCTGAGGAACACCACTCGTCACTGGTCTCCACTTGGACATTGAACCGTTGACCACAACTCTTTGAGTGCAACCATCTAGCCAATTCCTTATCCACCAAGTGGTCCATCCATCTGTCAAATCCATCTTTCTCCAGTTTAGAGACAAGGATGTCATGTGGAACAGTATCAAATGCTTTGGACAAGTCCAGGTAGACGATGTCAGTTGCTCTGCCCTTATCCATCAATGCTGTAACCTCATCATAGAAGGCCACCAAATTAGTCAGGCAGGATTTGCCCCTAGTGAAGCCATGTTGGCTGTCACCAATCACCTCCTTATTTTCTATGTGCCTTAGCATAGTTGCCAGGAGAATCTCCTCCATGATCTTTCGGGCCACAGAGGTGAGACTGACTGGCCTGTAGTTCCCTGGGTCTTCTTTTTTTCCCTTTTTAAAGATGAGGGCTATATTTCCCCTTTTCCAGCCAGCAGGAACTTCACAAGACTGCCACAACTTCTCAAATATGATGGATTGTCACGAACTGTAGGTATTCTTGTCGCACTGTATTGCAACCAAGGGTCATTGCAATCACCTCATATCTCAATCAGAAGGTCTTTATCTCACTCCGAAGGTCTTTTCTGGAGAGCCTCTAACCGCTGCTCTCAAAGGGCTCACACCTCTCTAGTATCCAGGAGGGAAATGCCCCACTTCCAGGAGGGGGTGCCCCACCTTTAACCAGCCACAGGCCACGTGGCTTCCGGCTTCCCAGGGTAACTCACAGCACCTGTTTTAACGGGCCACAGGTGCTTCTCATTTAGCCCGCGCAGCAGCCAGAAGACCTCTCCGACAATGGATAGCAGCTTAGCAACTTCATCTGCCAGTTCCCTCAGGACCCGCGGATGCACCTCATCAGGTCCCATGGACTTGTCCACCTTCAGGTTCTTTAGATGGTCTTGAACCTGATCTTCATCTACAGTGGGTGGTTCTTCATTTTCCTAGAAGAGACTAGGAGCTGCAACTTCCCCTCTTAAAGCTTCTTCAGAAATTACATGAGCCTGTTAGCAGGAAGCTTAAAGTCCTAGATATTCCAGAAAAGAAAATGAGGCTTGAAATAGCAAATTCTGTAGAACCATTTTGGTCAGCAGTGATTGGAGCAGTCCTAGAGGTGCCTGGGACTGTAATTAACACCCACTGCTTACACAGCAGCTCAGCCCTCACTTTTTGACACTACACTGCTGGCGCATACTGCGAGCTCCTTGTCAAAGACTGTCCCCCAGAACTGTGAGGTGCTGTGGGTAAAAAGTGGGTGTCCTACTCCCCACAAACCCTATTGCCCCAAATTTCTACTCTGAGCTCTCTCATTCCTAGCTGTTTGCACCCAAGTCTGTCTTCTCAGATCTGTGACAAGCAGAAAGCTCTGCTGCAGCAACAGTGTGCTTCTTTTCTGTGTGCAGGGGAGAGAATTCCTGCAGGACATCCATTTGATGATCATACAGCACCATCGGTGGAGTGACCTCCATTCTGGATTCAGTCTTTGCAGGGCTTATGTTCTCATCCTTTTGCAGGGCTTATGTTCTCATCCTTTTTTTCAATGTCCTTGAAGAAAAACTGTTAAAAATGAGTAGGATCCATTGCAATTTTGAAGGAAGAGCCCTTTGGATCAGAAACCCCATATTACACCTCTTTGTACATCAGTACAGTAGAAGGAACATGGGAGGAAATGTCCACCACTTCTCACAAAGAAACCTGTGGTTACTGCCCTGTTGGCTTTACAGCAGCCCGTTAAGAAATGCCCACCACTTGGTCCCTGCACTCCAGTTTTACCATAGTGTGTCTCTAGGAAGTCAACTGCTGTGACCTACATTCATTCTAGTTAGCATGCAAAGGAAGATCATGGAAGAAAATGTTATGAATAAATGAATGGGGATTTATTTCAAGTGATCTTTAAAGATACCAGGAACACAAGCTATTAAAAATACAGTGCTTGAAAAGACACGGAAGGTGTCAAGCAGCCCTGCCTTGAAGCAAAGACATGTTGAGACCTTCTGTAATTCTGCATTCTTTTAAGTATTTGAAATACTGGGCTCCCTAAGCTAGACAACAAAGCTTTGTATTGTTGGCTCTTTTGGCTCAGTTCTACAGCTCTGCAACATTAAAATGTTTTAAAATTTTTCACATTCATCAGATGCAGAATTGGGTCACTTAGTAACTGACTGCACAGTGTGTTGCTTCTCAGTGCTTTTACACACCAGTGAGGGAAGCAGTGAAAAAGATGGCACCGTGGCCAGAAATCTAATGCTCTTTTCTTGCTAGCAATTTCAGAATTTTTGACAAGAGCTTTGTGCAGGATAACTCGTACGGATACTGTTAATATTAGTCTTCCACTTCACCAGTGTGAAAATGAAGGGGCACCTTCTTTCTGCAATTATCACTGTCATTGAACATGAAGATTTACTACAAGACACCAACAATATATTTAAGCAATATTGAGCAGGATGTTGTAATTTGCATAAAGCAAAATATTCTCATACACTTTCATGTCGATCAGCTGCAAGGAATGGCTTTGAAAATACAGGAAAAGAGAAGTATTTGTCACTTTGTTCAAGACTAAAGACTAAATGTTCAGTTTGGAAGAACACAATGAGTCCGTTGGTGAAAATGGCACTAGGGCATACGTTTTGCCATCACTTGTGGAATTCTTGCAGCTCCCTAGCAAGCTGCAAGGAGCCCTCAGGGCAGAAGGCAGCCTGGTTGAATGAATTGCTATGAGAATGTTAACTTTGCTTCCAGCTACTTTCTTTCCCAGCCCACACTTTAAAGGCTGGCAGGGAGTGGGCTGCAGGTGGAAGGTAGACAGTCACTGTTAAGCATATGCTTAATAAGGTCAGTGCTTCCTGATGATCTTGGCATGTACAGCGATATCTAGGAAACACTGGAATTACAGTCATGTACAGATTGACCATGTAGCCCGAGAAGGGCTGCAACATAAGGCTTTTCCAAGCACAGTGCAAACCTCTGAGTGCCTTTCTACCAAAATGGTTAAACCTCACTGAGCAACAGTTTCCCTGTCTGACTGATGGATCACCTACAAGTTCTGTCTCTCCTCTTTCTTTGCCTTTGGCTTCCTATAGGACTAGTGGAATATTATAGCTATGCATGCGATCACATTGCAGTGTTGTAACACTTTCAGGAAAAGGTGAATGCAGAGCCTTTGGGGTTCCATCTGGTCAGCATGAGAAGCCCGTCTATCTTTCCACATTGTATTTATTACCTACTTTGACTGTAAATTAGGGACTTCCAAATGTGTGATATGATAATTAACTAACTGTCTTCTCCCGTAAGAGATTAGTAAAATAACTTTAGTACCTGATAATAACACACTGAACTCTGCTGAAAGACTCCTGGTCAAGGATTGAAAGCATGGGATACTCATTAACATAGATGTCTAAGCTCGGCAGAGGAAGACTTTCTGTTTCTACCTCTATATAAGAAGCATGTTACCAAAGCACTCCACCTGACAAAAATACACCAAGATAAGGAAGTTTTTGGAGAGAAGGAAGTTAAAACTTTGAGACACAGAAGTTTTCTCATACTGGACTTCATTACCTGTCAGAAATATGATCTAATACTTGTGCATATGAGATGAGTACATCTCAGCCTTAGAAGATTATCTTCAAGGTCACTGGCTTAGTAGTATCAACAGTGTTAATACAGATGCCTAATATTAAGCCATATCATACCATGTATTCTCAAAGAATATTTTGATAGCCTGTATTTTCTTCTGACCTATTGTACTAGCCTTCCCTGCTCTTTCTTTCTCTCTCACTGTGCAGAGAGGAACTAAAAAGCTGCAGAGAGGAACTAAAAAGCCAATAACAGGAAAATAAGCACTCCAGAAATGCAGATGCAGGCCAAGATCTAGGCTGAGGAATACAATGTGAGCATAGTCATGCAGTGTGCCTGTATCATCCTATGAAAAGACTGAAAGCAATGAAAGTGTATGGAGATAAATGCTGATTATAGCAAGTGCTGTGTCCTGCCTCACAGCCTGTGCATCCCAGGAGAACACACAAAAAGCACCAAACCAGTCACCCACCAAAGTGGCTTTGTGCTTATGACAGTGGCTTGAAAGCTGCTGTGGACCAGTTTGCCTAATGCACATGTGCAGAAAATGGCTGCCTGGTTTCTCTGTGCAATTTCTGTGCTTATGTGACTTCTCAGGGGGAATAAGACCTCCCCAAGGTCACATTGACTGGATTTGCTAGCTTTGTGAAATCACTGACACAAGTAAAGGAATTGTAGGCTCTGTCCTTTGTTTGACGTACAAACAAACCTCTTGTGAATATCTTAGGAAAGGAACGAGCTTACTCCAGCATAGTAGGAGAGGAGGAGGCAATGCTGGAGCCAAGACAGGAATGGCATTTTGTAGTATTTAGAAAGCACACTGAGAAACAGAAAGTAAAATGGCTATAGCATGAAAAAAACCAAAAGAGATTTAGCTTTTGAAGGTAAACCAGATGAGCCTGCAGGGAGTATCTAACCTCTTGATCTTGTTATCATGCAGCAGAAATCTAAGAAATGAAAGAAAAGTTTTCCTGCAGGGAAGATTACAGCACAAACAGAACTGTCATTAAAAGAAATACAAATTTAAAAGGAGATCCCACACATTTTTCCAAATAACCATCTAAGGGAAAACTATGCCCCTATGAATACATCATAGCGTAGCTGCAAGGAAAGAGCCCACTCGTAAAGATTTTCTAATGTAAACAAATTATTCCACACCCAGAATGCCACTGAGAGAATCCTTCTGAGCCCAGTGAGACAGTGCCTCTGGGTAAAGGTACAGTTTTTGTTGGAAAATTTACAGTGTGAGCAACATCTCAAATTCTGTCCTGACAATTCTATTGTAGGTATCTGTCTGTAATTCAAAACTCGCTTGTTCCTTTTAATGAGATATTCTGTCCTTGTGTCCGTACATTTATGCCATTCTGTCTTAACCTGCTTCCCTTACCAATGCCCTTTGGATTGCATGTCTGATTTCCTATAAGCCTTACTTGTACTTCAGGAAAGTACATTCTTCCTTTTATCCCTTAATTCAGGGGTTGAAGAGCTGATCCCAGAAGAAGGAATGAGCTGCTTCTGGCTGGCTTTTGTTTTGATTTTACTATTGCTCACAATAGCTGTAATTAAATTCAAAGTGTAAGGAGATACAAAAGAAACATTTTTCTGTTGTGAAGTGATGAAGGGAACATTCACTAATACTCTGCCAGTGTTTGGAGGAGGAGGTTTGTGAAACTTAGAGCAGCAACCTGGGGAAACAATGAAAGCCTTTGTAGTGAAAAGCAGAAATATGTGTCTTTTTCCAGGGGAAGAGTACTTCTTTAAAAAGAATTGTCATCTCTTGGAATAGAACATAAGCAAAGCTAATCAGTTGTACAAGACTATATTTGAGATTTGTTTGGGTGTTTGGAGATAGTGAGTAAACAAGGTCTATAGCGTTACTTAATGATTTCTTTAGTGACAAATATCTGAACAGTAACAGCCAACCAGCATTTAAAAGTTTTCCGTCCTATGAGGAGTTTTGCTACCAGGTGTTAGAGAAAATTGGTAATGGCCATCTCCTGTTTTCCAGCAGATTTCCAAAGACCTGTAAACTCACTCTCTGTACCTGACATCTACCCCCTTTGCATGCAAGTTTATTCTCTTGCTCTTTGGTCTTTACTTGGTAATTGGAAGTCCAGCCAGTCCTGCCAGACTTCCAGAAGGGGCGAATTCCTCCCTGGAAGTGTGGGGAATGATCACTGGCATTGATGGTGTTATCTCTGTTTAGCTTGTGTTGCTTTGGTGATGGAGAAGATGGTTGCTGCAGATGGGCAATGCCCATGGAGAGCCATGGAAAACTGTGCTTCTCAGTTGGGTGTTAGACTGACTATATAGAGATTTGACTTTAATTACACAGGTAATTGCACCCCTTTTTTTTCCTCATTTCCATGTCCTCAGATCAGGGCTGGTGAACTGTTATCACCCCCTTCTGCTCCTCTTCAGGATATCAAGTGCCAGGCTGGCTCCTTCACTCATTAACTTCAAGGAGTTTGAGATTAGGTCTTTCAAACTGTAGGGGGGTCTTTTTGCCGCTCTGATTTTATTTTGGATATTGCAGGTTTGTTGTGGAATTTGTCCTCCAATGACCAGCTGAAGCACCTGTTGATTAGAGAAGCCCTGCAGACGCTGACCGAAGCTGTTCTCATCCCTTACTCTGGCTGGCCAGATCGAGATTACCCAAAGTCAAGTGCCTTACCTGACCCTGATATCTTCTACAATGCCACAGGATGCTTGAGGTGAGCACTCAGTCTACAAGTACCCAAAACAATAGTGATGCTAAAACGGGCTGCACACTTATTTATAGTGATGATAAAATGGGCTGCACACTTGTTTTCTTTCTTGCTTTGAACTTTGATGACTCCAAGAGAAGAGTTTGCATATAGATCATGTTTTGAAATATGACCTCATGCACATCAGACCGGAAGAATCACTGCTCAATACAATGAGAATAACTTTCTTCTTAAGGCTCCTATATATTCATTTGATGGGTACTCTACAGACTAAATATAATATAACAGAACATAGTAATCAGAGGCATGGTTGCAGTGTATAGTTGCATTGAAGTCAAAGAGATCCTTCACTGAATAACAGATGTTGGTATGATGTATAAAATTAGCCCCTGATTGATGACGATAGTAGTAATAACAAAGTTTCTTAAATAGTTGTAGAAATAGTATTACAAATTAGCACTGGAGAAAAGCTCACAGTGATTTAAAAGAAACTTTAAACCTGTGTGAGCCTTTTAAAGTTATTTTAAGACTCTAGTGCAGTGGTCTCCAGACCTTTTTGATGATACACTCCTATGAGTAAAAACTTTTTGAGAACCCTCCCTCAGTATATGTAAATTTATTTATAAAGTATATACATATACTCCTGTACTAATATATTATGTACATTATAAAACATACATAAAAACAGAAATTAAAAAGCGTGATGTAAAGATGAAATAAACACTTTTTTTTTTATTTTATCCATTAACGGTACAAAAATATTTTCTTCCTGCATCGCAATGGACTATCTTGTGCACCCCTTGGGTTGTATGATCTTTTGATACAAATACAAAAGTGACAATTTCATAGGATAATGAAGTTCTTTTACCCCTGTAAGTATTGTTTATAACCGCTTTGTTAATACTTTTTTCGTAAACAATTCCTGCTTCATTTTAATTTCTAAAATTTATGAAGCATCAGAAGTGGCTATCCACTGGAATCACATGAAAATATGCCTACATCTTTTTCTCCTTCCTACTCTACAAGCTCAAAATAATTAAGATCTTTACACATAGCTTGAGTATATGTTTATACTTCTGACTGGCAGAACAGATTTATGATTGCGTTTGTTGAAAAGTAACAATGCAAAACCTCGTGAAGAGTCCTAGGCTGTAGCAGGTAAAGCAGTAAGGTTTATTTCTCTGGAACACAATTTCTTAGTTGTGCTGGAGCAAAACAACGGTTATAGGCAGTAATAGGATTTTTCTCATCACATGCCTCCATTTAGAGAATTTGATTCTATATAAACAAGAAACTAGCCTTCTCTGAAGAGTAAAGAAAATTCACTATATCACATCATTGTTTCAGAGTAGCCTCAACAGAAATTTGCTGTCACGAGTGTTTTATTCAAGCACTGGTAATGCTGTTTGCATTTGCCCATTTTGTGGGCAGTTCCTTTGAGCACAGTCTCTGGTTCAGACACCCAGGAGTGTTTGCATTTCCCGTAAGAACTGCAAAGTTGGCAGCTTTTTCTCACAATTTCCTCCCTTTGCACTGTACTGTTGTATAGCCCTGTAAGTGCCATTTGGGCTACCAAAACAGAAACATGCATGAAGGATTAATTCTGGCGTCATCAGTGGGACAACTGAAGTGCTCGTGTACCTGGGATTTTCTTTCCAGAGACTGAGCAAGACATGTTTATCTATGGCAACATTAGATATTAACGGGACCACAATGTGTTCTGCCATTTGTGTTGGGTAAGTTCTGCTCACCTGCTGTAATACCTGCTGAATCTTACCAGCTTTACCAGGCACGGGAGCTGTCCTTTGGGTAGTAAGCACAACATGCTCAGCAGTGATCGAGTCACTCTTTTCTTCTGCTCAGCATATAAACCATGACTAATAGTTATATTCAGTAGCATCTCCAAGGACCCTTTGGTTAAATATATAGAATTAATTTCAAGTCATAATCACTTCTGTTCTAAATAGACAATTTGTAAAGGGGACATGGTACATAAAAGCACAGAGAAGTGTTCAGTTTTCAGCTGCTGCCAGATATGCTTACTTTGATATATCATAATCTATAGCTAAACTGATTAGAAAATGACTTCATCTAAACTGGGAAAAAGCCATTTTTTAAATCGAAGTAAGCCCCGTCCAACTTTTTGCACAAGTTCAAATAAATTGAGGCCAGGCTGCAGCCATGGAGTGGAGGAACAGATTTACAGTTGTGCATTTACCACTGCAATCAGCTAATAGCCTCATGAACATAGTAGCAGCTACTACAGAGAAATACCAAAGGCCTCAGTAAACACACCCGTAAATGACAAATATACAAATCACATCTTTAATAAAAGCACCTTTAATAAAAACACCTTTAAAAACAGCAGTCCATAAAACTGTGGCCCTTTGTGAGTTCAAAGTCATTGCATATTAAATAAATACAAATGTTGAGTATTAGAGGTACATGTCTTTTGTTCACACGTCCAAAAATGCATGAAAGGGCATTTCAAAAATGAAAAAGGGCGTAGTTTGAAATAATTAATGAGTAACGTATGAGTGCAAAAGCATGGCCTGAGTTTTAAACTCATATTAATAAAGTACAAGGAATTGGGTCTGAAATTTAGAGGCTGCCCAGTTTTGCCTTATATCTTTGCCTTATGCCCTGTTTTGCTAACATGTCGTATAGCAGAGTAGTTGTATCTGTATTGCACTGTGTAAACAGCTCTGTATCTGACTCTTGGGTGGTTTCAGAGGACAAATGAATTGTTAGCTATACAAAATACTCAACAATAAAGCACCTTTCTCTGCAAGAACTCCTGTCAGCCCACTAACATTATCTCTAAGTAATAATTAACTTTTATTTACTCTGATGGCTCAAAAGCAAATACAGAGAAACATTAACTGCCCATAATAAAATCTCTCTAGCTAACGCTAGTGCTGTTGTCTATGAAAGGAAGCAAGTTGCTGTTTTTCGTGTTAGTTAGCCCAAGCTGCGTTTGTAGAGAAACCAGTCTGGCTGTTAGCTGTGCCGCTCTGTGGTGGCATGACCTGCCCCTCTCCTGCGTTTGGACCCTGGAACCATCTCTTCCCTATGATCCAGCTGATAAGGGCACAGGATCATTCTCTGTTTTAGCGTGGTATTACTCTTTCTGAGCTTGTTGCAGCGACTTGAGATGAGACAAATAAGGAGTAACAGTAGCTGAGTTGTTTTAAATTAAATAAAAGTAGACTTTGAACATACTTTTATCTGTACAGAAAGTCAGTGAGTGGGGCTGCTCCAGAGCTGCAGTTAGCTCTGCAGCCTCAATGAAAAGTCTCTCAACCTGCCCTTACCGAGATGTCCAAGGATACATTACTTATTTTAAAAAGGTGATGTCCTTCTTACTTTTAAGAGCTTGAACACTAAAAATTGTAACTGAGCGGAGAACAAGAAGGGCTTGAAAATTCACAGCTAAAATTGATCTGCAGGATTGCCAACATACTTTCTAGCAGAGAACAGTTTTTAATGAGGTTTACTGAATTTGTACAGACCAAATATCTGAAATTTTTAAGCTGAATCAATTTGCTTCTCTTTATTGGAAATTAATACACCTCAAATCAGGTCAGTAGAAGTATTACTTCCTTATGTATTAATTAAAAAAAAAATCTCTGCACAAAGAAGTGCTGAAAACTAAAAGAAGAGCACACCACAAAATAAAAAACTGTGCACTGAGGGAATGGTGTTACTAATGAAGATGTTTAAAGAGTCTATATATTTGCCAGAATATAAATCTGTAATTAGTCTTCCCTTCTGTAATACTAACATGTTTGTTGTGCATGTTGATAAAGTCTATAGCCTGCAGCTTCTAGTACAGGGTAAAAATAGTACTTTGAAGTGCAATACATTATGCATAGTACTTAGTTATAGGAGAATGCCAAAAGTTCCTTTCAAAAATTTACATACACCTATTGACTGACAGGGACACCCACAGTCCAAAACTAACACTATCATCTGAGGTGAGCATCTGTGCTGTGCCACACAGTTACCAACTAGTAAATTAAAGCTCTCTTCATCCTCTTTGACAGAATTTCAGGAGGAGAAGGAAATCCACGTCTAGCAGATAATATTGCAGATACTAACACTGGAAGGAGTAAACAACTAGAACACTCCCTATTCTGCTAAACAGTTATTGCAACAAGTATTGTGGAGGCCTGAATTTCCAGCTGCCTGTGTCAGTGTATGTAGTCACTGATAAGGAAGTCTGACTTTAGAAGGATTTCTTAATCCCATTCTCTAGGTCTGTAATTTGTCTTAAAGCTTTGCTTCTGACACAGTTTTACAGAAATCCTGGATCACAAAACTTTATAATAAAAAGAAGCTGTGTATACCACAGAATTCTGCATTAGAAGGTAGAATAAATAATGGTATTCAGCCCTGAAATGTGATAAAAAGCACTGTGCCCTGCACAGGCAGAATACACCAAATTAAAAGACTTCGCTGGTTGCCTGACAACAGCTGAACAAGTAAAATTGGTGTATTAAACTATCTAGAGGAGTATTGCAGATATTGTAGTCATTGGATTTGCAAGGTAAAGTCACTTTTTCTTGGCCTGAAAGTCCTACGCATAATAGTTCTGTCTCCAGTTCTGATACAAATGGGTAGAAATCGTCAAGATACTTAGCCTCCTCCTCCAAATTCCTCTGAGTCTGAAAGGGTAAGATACCAACAGCATGCAGAATATATGGTTTTGAATGTTATTTAAACACTTAAATGAATTTCTGGCATTATTCTTTCTCTGATTAAGAGGAAGGCTTAGTAGAAGGCTGTCTGTATTACACCTTGAAAGCTGATAATGATCTTGTTCCATTTTTACCTTGAAATTCCTGTTCCCAGAAGTTCTGCAGGGCTGAACTTCCCAAATTTATGTTTAGTGGTCACATTTTCTTCCGCAAAATATTTTGTTTAAGTGTTGGAACTAGCCACCGCAACTGCTGTGTTTCATTACAGAGTCCTCCTTTTTGATTGCTCTGTCACTGGAGCATCCT